ACTTGATCTTGTAGTCACTGTTTACTGAACTAAGCACTCTGGTGCTGAGCCATTCAGGAAATACGATCTCATTTAACCCTCAGAACACCCTGTGAGCCACATATGGATGTCACCATTTTAAAGATAAGGAAGCTTCACAAGTTAGAGAGGTTACACAACTAACCAAGGCTGCACTTCTGGTGTGTAGTACTGCCTGAGTTGGAACCTAGATCCGATTCATTCCATGATTTGTGCTTATCAGACAGCATTCCATGGAACAGTATGTTCCTGAGCTATAATCTTCAATACAAGAATAAGTTTGTATAACTATATAAGAAGACCTTCTCTTAGAGACCCACATGTAACAAATTTCTCAGAAGTCAGTCATTTAAAAAACTGTGTATTGTTTTCTGGTTTATTTACTTATATTTTTTAAAGATTTTATTTATTTATCTTTAGAGGGGAAGAGAAGGAGAGAGGGAGAGAAATATCAATGCATGGTTGCCTCTCATGCGTCCCCCGCTGGGAACTGGCCTGTGACCCAGGCATGTGCCCTGACTGAGAATTGAACCTCGATCTTTAGGTTTGCAGGCCCGTACTCAATCCACTGAGCTACACCAGCCAGGGCTTATGGTTTATTTTTATGTAACCCCATTTACTTCCAAGATTGTTTGACCACGGATTACTCTAACTCCCTATTGTTTGTTTGTTTGTATTAACATCTCATAAATATAACAGTCTGTGTAAACCACCTGCTGTCTTGCTGTGAGTCCAGACTCGTCTCTAAGTGTACATCAGATAAAGCTGGAGATCAAGGACTGGAAGTTTCTTGAAGCTTCTGTCCAACCTTAGCCAGTGCTAAACTAGATTAAATTCAAGACTAGATCAGATGCAGCTGCAATTACTGGTCAAAGAAAAGCGAGGGATTGAACTAGAAATCCACAAGACACTTTACCTGCCCAAGCTCTTCGTTTGGAGGAAACTAAAGGGTAACTTCATCTGTGGCCTCTGCGTTGAGCTGTGGGAGGTGGCCACAGCTGACTGCATATGAAGCACAGATTTTCCTGGAAGCTGATGTCAGGGGATTTCTTTACCGAGCCTGAGTCATGGGACTGGGTGTGCCGACTTTGACTGTGGAGGGCGTTGGAGCTTCCAGGCAGTTTCAGGGCTTCCAGGAGACCTGGAAGGGGTTGGCAGGGGCAAAGCTGTGGGAGCTCCATAACTGGCCAGTCACAGTGAAGAAGGGGAAGGGGGAGGGGGAGGGGGAGAAGGTGGGCATTCTCTTTGGATTAACACAAAAACTGGGGCCATCATTGCATGTGGTAATAGTAGTGATAATCTTCACCAAATGGGCAGCTGTTCTCCTTCAATTTGGGGTGAGTCTAAGTGGAAAATCAGAGAAGGAAGAGGTTCTTCTTCTTGTCTGTGAAGGAAAGAATCAGTGGGGATATTCCCAGGTTTGTGGGCACCTCCTTACTTGGGACTCTGTGAACAAGGAGGTTACGGGGACCTGAAGCAGGTGTCCCAGGATCCTAGGTTGTCGGGGAGGAAGTGACTCCAGGAGGCACATGGCCCCATTCCTTCTGTGTGAGTTCTTTGCCCGTGTCCAGAAGGTTAGTGTATTGGTAAAAACAGACCTCAAGCTAGAGGCTCCTGGCTCTGCAATGTCATGGTCTCTCCACACTCCAGATTATTGAGAGTCAATGAGGAAAATTCCAGTCATTTTTTCACTCAACAATCTTTTTTTTAGAGTAATCAGGTACTGTGCTAGGCCCTGAGGGTTCAAAGGTACGTAAACTAGCTTCTACCCTCACTGAGCTCACATTCCAGTGATGGAAGAGATAATTACACAGCAAAGAGCTTAGGGCAAGGACGCAGATGAACAGTCTTACAGGCAGGAAGATTAGACACAATCAGAGAAGGCTTCCTGGAAAAGTGACGAGATTATACAGCTAACCAAATTAAGGGGAGAGAAAGAGGAAAATTCCAGGAAAACACATGAGCAAAGGTAAGGAAGAAGGCATCGTGACAAGTATGCAGTGTTGCATGTTAGATTTCAAGGTGTAAGACAGGGACTGCTGCTCTGAGTTTGGAGAGATGGACAGGTGCAAATCAGGAAGCGCCTTTTGACATAGGTGCACATGCCTAACACAGCCCTACAGTCAAGAGAACAGTCATCAATCCCCAAAGGATATTGGTGGTCTTTTGTGACCCCGTTCTCCTGCCCCTCCTCCCTCCCCACTCTTCTTCAGGCTCATCCCCAAGCAGCGATTCATCTGCTTTCCACCACTAAAGGTTAGTTTTCATTTTCTAAAATGTTATGTAATTGGAATCATAGAGTATGTATGTTTCGTCTAGCTTCTTTCACTCGTCATAATTAATTCTGAGACTCCCCTATGCTGTAGCATGTGTCAACAGTTCATTTTTTTATTCCCGAGTGGTATACCATTGTACAGTTAGTTATATCACCGTTTATTTACCCACTCACCTACTGATGGGCCTTTGGGTGCCTTCCAGGTCTCGGCCATTGCAAATAAAGCTGCCATAAACGTTTCTTTACAAGTCTTTGTATGGACAGGTATTTTTGTTTTCCTTGGGTAAATGCCTCGGAGTATGATGGCTAGATCATGTCATAAGTGTTATCTTTCACTTTTTACAAAGCTGGCAAACTGTTTTTCAAAGTGGATAAACCCTCCTCCGTTCTCCCCAACAGTGTATGAGACTTGCACATGCTCGTCAACATTTGGCGTGGTTAGTCTTTTATGTTAGTCATACTAAGAGGTGGGCAGTGGCATCTCGTTGTGGTTTTAGTGGACTTTTCCTCAGTGACGACTGAAGTGAAGTATTTTTTCTGCTTACTTACTTGCCACATGTGTATCTTCTTTGGTGAAGCACCTGGTCAGATCTTTTGCCCATTTTTAAATGGGATTGTTTGCTTTCTTGTCATTGAGTTTTGAGAGTTGTCTGATGTTCTGTGACCTGCAAGCCATCATTTTGTACTTTGTACATTTTTTGGTTGTTTTAGGTAAGAGACTTGCACTTTCCCTGGTTTCAGTTTCTCATGGTCAACTATGGCCTGGAAATATGAAATGGAAAATTCCAGAAATAAACAATTCATACATTTTCAAAGGTGCACCATTGCCTTGGCTGGTGCGGCTCAGTAGATTGAGAGCCAGACTGTGAACCAAAGGGTTGCCGGTTGGATTCCCAGTCAGGGCACATGCTTGAATTGTGGGCCAGGTCCCCAGTAGGGGGTGCACGAGAGGCAACCAAACACTGATGTTTCTCTCCCTCTCTTTTTCCTTCTCCTCCCCTGTCTCTAAAAATAAATACTCTTTTTTAAAAGTAGTTCAAAAAATAAAATAAAATGCATGCCATTCTCATGGTGATGAACCCCTGCCTGAGATGTGACTTATCCCTTTGCCCGGGGTATTCACACTGTATATCCTACCTGTCTGTTCGTCTCTTAGTAGATCAACTGCCACAGCGCCATAGTGCTTGTGTTTAAGTGACTGTATCACAAGACCTATGTCATCTGCCTCTTTATGTTCCATCACACGTGCCCTGTGTCATCTCATAGCATCGCAGAAAGGAGAAGGGTGAATACAGTACAATTCAGGTATTTTCAGAGAGAGAGGCCATTTTAACACAGAAACTTTTATTACAGTATATTGTTACAATTGTTCTGTTTTAGTACGTTATTGTTGTTAGCCTCTTAGTGTGCCTAATTTTAAGTTAAACTTCATCATAGATATATGTATATAGAAAAAACACAGCACATATAGGGCTCGATATTAGCCAGGGTTTCAGGCATCCACTGGGGATCTTAGAACACAGCCCCTGAGGGTAAGGGGGGCAACTATACATCCAAATACACTCATAATCTCATTCACTGTATTTTAACTTGGTTAAAGTAATGATGAAGGATTAAGGATAATTTTGAGGGTCAAGGCAAGAAGGAAAGAAAAAGGACAAAGTAAAGGGAAAGAAAAACAGAAGGAAATAGACGTATTTGGCCGGCTCGATGGTGGAGAGCAGTCAGTCGTGGAAGAGAGGCGGCTCCTCAGACTCACTCATGGCCTGGACGAGCCACACCTCGGGGCTGAGTTGTGGGTGCTTGACACCGCAAAGAGACCACCATGGATTGTCCAAGCAACCTGTGCACCAGAAAAGGCATAATAGTTCTAATGGGGAAAGAACCCCAAATAACAGAATTTCTGTTTTACATATCAGTCTTGTGTGTAGTTTTAAAATAGGAGTCACTCCGTGAGCCCCAGTGCCTCTGAGAGAAATTATAAATTGTGTATCTGGATCTCTAGAACTGAGGACCAGACTTTGGATCCTGATGTCCTCATCAAGAACAGAATCCATTTTTTAAAAATTCGAGTCTCATTGCTCTCTCCTTTCTTTCTCCATTGGCTAGTTGTCGGCCATGTCCACTCTGCTGTAGGCTGGTATCTTCTTCCAGAGGCAGCTCAGTCATGGCTGCCTCTCCCATAGCACCGAGCACAAAACACTCTAAATGCTGTTCAGTGAATGAGCACCCAAGGCATAAGTGTGTCCCCGCACTTCCATGGGGAGAGATTTGCAGATGACATGTAGTATGTTGGTGCATCTCAGGGCATTTAAGGGTCAAGGCGCTGGCCGTGTCCACAGCTGACTGACCAGCCGGCCCCTGACCCCGGGGCTGCCTTCTGGAGTAGGTGCCCAGGCCCCAGTCCCTGAGCATTGGCTTGGTGTGTGTCACTGTGACTCACCCTCCCCTAAGAAGGGCTCCAGTCCTTAGTGCTAGAGTGCTTAATTCAATGTTAAGCATCCTTGGCTGGCATCCAAGATGAGCCCACTGGTACCTCACTTCAGAGACTATGAGAGCAGGGACTTTGGGGGAACTTCCCGGAGAAGAGTCATAGCTCAAAGTCAAGGTAAAGCTGGAGATCCTTGAATCCTGAACGTGTGCATCCTCTGAATCACCTTGCAGAACCAAGTCACTTACGTCATCTTCATTTCCTTCCACTTTTTAGCCCAAGAATACCCCAGAATGGGCATGAGTAGTTTGAAATTGCTGAAGTATGTCCTGTTTTTCTTCAACTTGGTCTTTTGGGTAAGTGAGTCTCTTCTGAGCTCACCTCTCCCCAGGTAAGTTCTACTTCTCTCCCTTCACTAAGAGCGTTATGGGAGGTGCATTTGTGCACGCCTGTGTCTCAGGCAGTCTACACAGCCAAAGGAGAAGGGAATAATGCTTGCCTCCCCTCTTCACATCCTGCCACAGTATAACCTGGCAAAATTGAAAGGTACCAGTGCAGTTATTTATGGGGATACTGCTTCTCTCTCTGGGGACTCCAGGTAATTATGGCTCACTGCTGACATCTATGGGTAAGAAACCCGAGACTTGAAACTCTGTTGAGCACCTCTTTTTTTCTAGCTTTTACCTGCCCCCCTGGATGTCTTGGGAGAGTAACTAGTTGAAAGATTAAGCCACCTTTTCTGGGGATGTTTCACCGTACCTAATTTAGCAGTTGAATTTCATATATAGGATGAGTCGGTACTTGTGTTTCTATGCAAACGTTCTTAGAAGTTGGCTCCTCCAGTTTCCTGCTGAGCAACATGAACTTCTGAAACAGAGCACGTCCCCTACCCTCATCTGCGGTTGTGGTTTCCAAAGGGAAGACCACGTGGAAGCAGTTGAGGTCAAGGAGTAGGGATCTGAAGCATGGGGATACGGTGTTCCTCACAGCCCGGGCTTCCCCTTATATCTGGTACGGGTAGGATGAGGCATGAGGGACATCACACCTTTTCTAGGTGCGTGGGGAAAGCTAGGCAGAGAGGCCGTTCAGCAGAATCTCGAGAGCGCCAATGGGGAAGAGTGATTCTAATCTCAAGGAAGCAAGGATATGAGATGTTGAAGGACCATGCTTTACCTCACAATGTGTGATTCTTCCTTTCAGTTCTGTGGCTGCTGCATTCTGGGCTTTGGGATATACTTCCTGGTCCACAACAAATTCGGGGTACTGTTCCATAACCTGCCCTCCCTCACGCTGGGCAATGTGCTTGTCATCGTGGGCTCCATTATCATGGTGGTTGCTTTCCTGGGCTGCATGGGCTCCATCAAGGAGAACAAGTGCCTGCTTATGTCGGTGAGTCTCTCACAGATGTGGTGCCCTATGGCAGGAGTGGGGGGGTGGGGCATGAAGGCTGAAGGCCCAGGCAAGACGTGTTTCGGCAGCTCACCTGTGGGCACAGGAAAATCAGAGGAACATAGGATTGGCATCTTCCTAAATCCTCCTCACGTCAATTGGCATTTTCAGAATCTGACTCAGAGTCACTAACTAATGGAAAATCTAGTCTCTAGATTCTTCTGAGTGCTGTGTTCCTCCTTAAGTGGGAGGGATTGCTTCCCTATCTCATATCTGTACGAGATATGCCACCTCGTGACTGACCTGATTTGGGAGAGGGCCTAGGCTACAGCCAGAGGTCTAACGTGAGGGGAGCCAGAGCTTTTCAGTCGTCCAGCTCTACCTCTCCTGAGAAGCCTGTATGTTCAGCTTTTGCCTCTAAGCTCTAAGAAAGAAGAGCCCCTAGTGTCTAGTGTGCCCAGAACAGAGCTTGGTATGGGTTACCAATGGCCTTCGTTCTTCCTTAAGTCATTTGGTTAATGTTCTTCCCCTTATGGGTCAACTCTTAGACCGAGAGTTGAGACAGAACGAGAAAGCCCCTCTCCTCAGCTAGCTCCCAGACTAATGGCAAGAGGTGGAAGATAGCAGGGGAAAAGGTTTTAATTCATGTTAGGGCAAAAAGGTAAAGGAGAGGGAATGAGTGAAAATGTGTTTTCTGTTCTGTGTGATTAACATAAAGGGACGAAACATCTAAAGGTGAAGATAAATATGAAGTAGAATCATCCTTAGAGGTTCTAATGCATATTCTCCCCATCTGCCCCAATTGCTCTGCTCGTGCAGAAAGGACCAGGCCCCAGACTCGAAAGGCATTGGTCTTTTGCTCGATTGTTTTGGTGGGCTGATGCCCAAATTGTTTCATTGACCCAACAATGGAATTGCATATACATTATGTACACGGAGCCCAGTAGACACGTGGGGAGGAAAACCAACGTTAGAAGACAGCTGATCTACCCACTACAGCCTTGGGGCCCAGCTGTGGGAAAATAATACTCATTCCTCATAAAACAAGAGAAGGCGTATGAAGGCCCATGCAGGCAGCAGCAGGCACCTGCTGCACTTGTGCAGAGATGTACCTGGGTGCTCCCAGGATGCAGTGGGAATGGGGGAGGACCTGGGATCCCTGCTGTGAGCATGCCTCTGCTTTGCCCCCAGTTCTTTGTCCTGCTGCTGATCATCCTCCTTGCTGAGGTGACCTTGGCCATCCTGCTCTTCATGTATGAACAGAACGTAAGTTATACAGGACACAACTCATTGTCACACTATGGGGAATGGGGTATGGGCTGTGGAAAAGTGCGCATAAAATAAGTCTTACAGTAAGAGGTAGAAGCCAGGTGGAAGGATAGAGGGAAGAGATCAATCATAATTAGGGAGGCAAAACTTTGTGAAGGATGTTGCATTTGTGTGATTCTTTGAAGAGTAAGTGGGAAGAACAGTAAAAGCAGGTTTATTTCACTTTTTTCCTATTCACTTTTCTCCATGTGTCTGGCAATACAGATACCTGTCCCGGCGCCTGAAGGAGCCCAGGCTTCAACTGTCCCTTTTTCTCTTTTGTGAAACCCAAGTTCTGGAAGCACAAGAGGCCACTGTGGGCTTCTTCCCAGAAAAATGTCCAGAATGTCCCTCCTTCCCTTCCTTAGCTCTGATGAGACCATTTGGAAGGGAGTAGCAAATGGGACCACTCACCTGTACTAGAAATTCCTTGTTCCTTGAACTCACCTGCTTTCTCTAATGTCTCCTCTGCTGGCCTGTACCCTGTGCAGCTGGATCGCTCTGTGACTGAGGGCCTGAGCGACAGCATCCAGCGATATCACTCGGACAACAGCACCAGGGAGGCGTGGGACTCCATCCAGAAATTTGTGAGTACAGGTGGGATCCTCCCTAGCTCAACCCTCACTTAATTTTCCAACCTCTGTCTCTGGCAGCTCCAAGGGACTTCCTTTCCTGAAAGTCTCAGAATCTAAAGTCGCCGGTCCCCAGGTCCAGAGTATGCCCGGCTGTCACAAACGGGAGAGACAGGAACTGGTGTGATTGGTACCACGTTGTTTATGTTCTCTGTCATCCTTCACCAAATTAGATAGGCTCATTGTTGAAGCTCTACTAAGGAAGATCTAAACGTGTCATGCTGGAATAGTTGTGCATTTTCCAAAATTCTTCTGAGAACAGAAATTACGGAATACAAGAAGTCTCTTGAATTCCTGAGTAGCCCAAATCCTGCTTTGCTACCTAGCTCCCCAGACGCCCATTTCTCATGTCCCCTCCCCACCCACAAATATACACAAGACTCAGGGGACCAGCCTGACACTGGCAGAGTCCACGTCAAACACGGTGCCATGTGGAGCCACCCAGGGCTCTGCCATGCCTGCTCAGAGTGGAGAAAACACAACACCGGAAGTAGAGCCAGACCAGGACTGGGTTGCCTCGGGACAGGCACCGAACCCCTCGGAATCCCTGATTCTTTATTTTCCAATTCAGTTTAGAAGACTTTGTACTACAGAGTTGTCTGGCATACCTAAACATAAAGAGAGTAATAGTGAAATGGATCCCTAGGTACCTATCACTTAGCTTCAACAGTTAATATTCTGCCAATGTGTCAGCAAATCCCGTGTCAGTTTTTTTTTTTTTTTGCTAGAATGAAATAAAGTAAATACTAGATGTTATGTCATCTTGCCCACTAAATACAATAACCTCTTTTTTTAAGAAGACAATATTTTAGAGAAGTTTTAGGTTTATAACAAGACAGAGAGAGGTGCAGAGACTTGCCATATACCCCCTGACCCCACACATGTGCAGTGTTCCCTCTTATCAATATCATTCATCAGAATAATTCCTTTTTTTTTTTTTTTTTACCAAGGATCAATCCACATTTATAGATAATTATCACCCAAAGTCTACAGTTTACATTAGAGTTCACTCTCAGTGTTGTACATTCTATGGGTTTGGACAAATGTAAAATGACGTGTATCCATCGTTATAAATTATACAAAGTAGTTTCATTGCCCTAAACGCCCTCTGTGCTCTGCCTGTTTATTCCCATCCTTGTCAACCAGAGATCTGTTCACTGTCTCCATAGCTTTGCCTTTTTCAGAATGTCATGTAGTTGGAATCATAGGGCATGTAGCCTTTTTAAACTGGCTTCTTTCACTTGGTAACAATATGCATTTAAGTTTCCTCCATGTCTGCCCGTGGCTTCATAGTTTATTTCTTTTCAGCTCTGAATAATATTCCATAGTCTAGATATACCACAGTTTATTTATCCATTTATCTGTTTGTTGCTTTCAAGTTTTGGCAAATATGAATAAAGCTGCTATAAACAATCATGAGCAAATTTTTTGCGTGGGTTTAAGTTTTCAACTCCTTTGAATAAATACCAAGGAGCATGATTGCTGGATCACATGGTAAGAGTATGTTTAGTTTATAAAAGTCTCCCAAAGTGTCTGTACCATTGTGCATTCTTACCAACAGTGTATTAAAGTTCTTCTTGCTTCATATCCCCACCAGCACTTATGTCAGGGGTCCAGATTTTGACTCTTCTCATAGGAGAGTAGTGATATTGCATGGTTTTAATTTGCAAATCCCGGGTGACATATGATATTAAAAATCTTTTCATATACTTATGTGTCATCTGTGGGTCATTTTGGTGGGGTGTCTGTTTAGGTCTCAGGCTCACTATATAACCAGTATGTGTTCTTACTGTTGAGTTTTCAGGGTTTTTTGTATGTGTATATTTCGGTAACTGTCATTTTTCAGATGTGTCTTTTGATAATACTTTCTCCCAGTCGGTGGCTTGTTTTCTAATTTTTTTGATACTGGCTTTTGCAGAGCAGAAGTTTTTAATTTTAATAAAGTTCAGCTTATCATTTATCTCTTTCATGAATTGTGTCTTTGGTGTTGTTTCTAAAAATGTATCTCCATAATCAAGGTCATCTAGGTTTTCTCCTATATTATCTTCTAGGAGTTTTATAGTTTGTGTTTTACATTTAGGTCTACAATTCATCTTGAGTTAGTTTCTGAGAGGTGTGTAAGGTCTCTGTTTAAATTTTTCTTCTTTTTAACTTATGGTTCGCTGTTCTGGCACCAATTGTTGATGATACTATCTTTCTCCATTGTATTGCCTTTGATCCTTTGTCAAAGATTGGTTGACTATATGTATGTGGGCCTATTTCTGGGCTCTCTGTTCTGTCCCATTGATCTAGTTGTCTCTTCCTTTGCCCATACCACACTGTCATAATTACTGTAGCTTTAGAGTAGATCTTGGGGTTAGGTAACATTAGTTCTCCAGTGTGGGGGTGACCTCTCCTCGAGTCCCCCTGGTGCCACGGACACACATGAGTGAAAAATATGTGACCGAGACAAGATGAGATCTGTTTGGGGAGGGGGCGTGGGCTGTGGTCAGTTTCTCAGGGGAGACAAACGCCAGCAGCAGCCAGTTTCTCTGAGGAGAAAAAGGCCCCCCAGGGCCCTCTTCCGTAGCCTTTTACTGGGTTATAATACACTGGAATACAGGGCAACAAGGATCAAATAGCAGATAACATTACAAAGAAATCTGAGGGATTACTATGAGTCAGTGTCTGTCAGGAAGAGAGTTGCAGAAACTTTGGGAGACATACTCATTTCCTCTCAGACCCTTATCATATGAATGAAAGCACTCTTAGCAGAGCAGATTTCACAGGTTTATCAGTAAGTCTTTGTGATACCAGATTTTCCCCAGGACACGCTCTAGCAAGGCAAGGAGCTGCACCTCTCCCCAATAGGTATTCAGGCTTAAGGGGATTAGAGCCAGGAAGTGCTTCTCCCAGAGGACATGGGGACTCAGGCTTTCTCAAAGCCGGGGGGGGGGGGGGGGAGAGAGTCCATTGCTCTTTGTTGCAGCCCCCTGAGTCCTTCCATGAAGGCCTCCCAAGTGATCAAGTCTGGCTTAGGTTGCCCCCCGCTGTGAGGGGTCTTACCCGTCATTGACTTCCAACCAAGCTTTGGGGGCAGGGAGAGGAACTGAGGCAGTGTTTGCTATCAGAGACAGGCTTTGTCTCCTGAGGCTGGCATTCCAAAGGTCGTCTCTCACCCTTAGCCACAAGGGGTAGAGATACAATTCTTAAAATCCAGCAGAGTGGTCTACAACACTCCAGCTTTGTTTTTTTCCTTTAATATTGTGTTGATTCTCCTAGGTCTTGTGTCTCTCTATATAAACTTTAGAATCAGTTGGTCAACATCTATAAAAAACTTACTGGGATTTTGATTGGGATTGCATTGAATCTGTAGATCAAGTTGTGAAGAACTGACATCTTGGCAATATTGACATCTTCCTATCCATGAACATGGGATATCTCTCCATTTACTTAGTTTTTTAATTTTGTTTATCAGAGTATTGTAGTTTTCTTCATATAGATCTTGTGTATATTTTGTTAGATTCATACCTAAGCATTTTATTTCAGTGGGGGTGGTACCAATCTATTGTGTTTTTAAGGTCAAACTCTACTTATTCATTGTCGGCATATAGGGAAGCAATAGAATTTTACATATTAACCTTGTATCCTATGACCTTGCTAGAATTTCTTATTAGTTCCAGGAGTTTTATGTTGATTCTTTTGAATTTTATTCAAAATTCTTTTGAGTTTTATGTTGATTCTTTTGAATTTTATTATGATCATAGATGATCATATCACCTGTGAACAAAACCAGTTTTATGTTTTCCTTTCAATACGTATACTTTTCTTTTTCTTGCCTTATTGCATTAACAAGGACTTCAGGGTGATGTTTAAAAGAAGTGACTTGTACCTGATCTTAATGCGAAACTTCAAGTTTTCACCATTAAAAATGATGTTAACTTGGCTTTTGTAAATTGTTTTTTTAAGAAAATTCCCTTCTATTCTAACTGTAAAGGTTTTTTTTTTCTTGAATTATGAATGGATGTTGGGTTTTGTCAAATGCTTTTTCTGCATCTGTTGAGATAATTGTGTGATTTTTCTACTTTAGTCTTTTGATGCAACTGATAATATTAATTGATTTCCAATGTTGAACCAGTCTTAGTTCAATTTTATTGTAATGAGAACACTTAACATGAGACGTACCTTAACAATTTTTAAACAATTCATTCTTTTTGACTATATGTATAATGTTGTACAGATGATCTCTAGAGGTTATTTATTTATTTATTTTTAAATTTTATTTAGTTATTTTTCAAGTACAGTTTTTTGTCTATTTTTCCCATCCCAGCCTCCCCCAGAGGTTATTTATTTTTAAATGTTGAACCAGCCTTTCATACTTTTAAAAAATTAAATATATTAATATTTTATTGAGTTTTTACATCTACATATACAAGAGACATTGGTGTTTAGATTTATTTTCTTGTAATGTCTTTGTCTGGTTTTGGTATTAGGGTAATAATGACCTCATAAAATGAGTAAAGAAGTATTTGCTCTGCTTTTATCCTCTGAAAGAGATTGTAGACAGTTGGTATAATTTCTTCATAAAATGTTTGGCAAAATTTTCCAGAGAATCTGTCTGGGCCTGGTTATTTCTGGTTTGGAAGGTTATATATTATTGATTCTATTTCTTTAATAGATGTAACCCTATTCAAATAATCTATTTCTTCTTGTATGAGTTTGGCAGATTGTGTTTTACAAGGAATTGGCCCATTTCATCTAAGTTATCAAATTTTTTAGCATAGGGTTGCTCATAGTATTTTTTTATCATCCTTTTAATTTGATTGGTTGTGTTGCCCTCTCTTTCATTCTGATATAGTCATTTGTGTCTTCTCTCTTTTTTTTTTTTCTTATTTAGCTTGGCTAGAAACTGATAAATTTACTGATTTTTTTTGAGAACCACCTTTTGGTTTTGTTTACTTTATTAATCTCTTGTTTTTAATATCATAGATTTCTGCTGTAATTTTTGTCACTTCTTTTCTTCTACTTACTTTAGATTTAATTTGCTCTTCTTTTTCCAGTTTCCTAAAGTGGACTTAGATTATTGATTTTAGATGTTTCTTCTTTTCTAATATTTTCCTTTGGTGTAATAAATTTCTTTCTAAGCACTGCTTTTGCTGCATCCCACAAATTTTTTTAAGTTGTGTTTTCATTTTTATTTACTCAAAATACTTTTAAATTTCTCCTGAGATCTTTTTTGACCATGTGTTCTTTAGAAGAGTGTTTAGAAGAGTGTTTAGACTTCATGTAAAATAACTTCTTTTTAATACACCTAAAATTTTTAAATAATTTCTTAATATCACAAATAAATGGTCTACGATTAAATTACTTTAAAACAACTGTATTTGAACATCAATTAAAAATACTAATATAATCAGTTAAACAATTACTTTAAAACATTAGTTTTAATTCATTTCTACAAATTAAGATCCAAACAGGGTCCACTTGTTTTTTGGATGGTATGTCTCTCTGAATGTTTAAAAATTTATAATAGTATCCATCTTTGTTCATTCTGTGTACTTGTGAAAAGACATTAGGTTGAATATTATATAGAATTCCCCACATTCTGGGTCTAGCTGTTTGCTTCCTCAAGGCATTTCACTCTCAGAGAGTCTATCTCCATACTTGTGAACTGGAAGCTTGATGCAGGTTCCATTTGCGATGAGATACAACAGGAAATTTCTGGTATTTCCTCCTACATCATGCAAACAGGCAGATGTCTGAGTGCCCTCCCTGCTGTGATCTTAAGACTGGGTAGTGTGTCTAGGTGTGGTGAGCCTGATCCCTCCATGACAAAGTCCTCTTTACAGATCAGAAGAAATTCAGGTCAAATTCTTCTGATCTGTAAAGTGGGAATAAACTAAACATACCCAATCTACTTTAGGGAGTCTTTGGGAGTGAAACAGTATAATGGATTTGAAAGCACTTTGTTCTCAGGAGCTATAGTTGTCAGCCCAATTCTGGATTTTCTGCTATATAGTAGATGGGAGGGGCCCCCTTTCCTCCAAGATGCATAGTTTTCATTCCGTTGACTTTCTAATAACCACATTTTGGGGGGGTTTTGGCTTTCAGCTGCACTGTTGTGGTATAAATGGCACACAAAATTGGCCCAAAGGCCCACCAGCTTCTTGCCCTTCAGATCCACGTGCTGAGGTAATTTTTTTTGGCAAATTTTCTGTTATTGGCTTCTGTAATTGGATATTTAATGACCTTACATGTTCCAGTCATATAGGACCCAGTCCTCCCCGCCAGAAACAGAGGACCTTGGACAAAATAGAGACCAGGGAGACAACCTGGGTAACTAGACAAATCGGGAGAAAAAAGCACAAACAACAAAATCATTTAGATTAGAGATATCATTAAGACCATTGCTGCCCTAAATTATTACTTGTGAGGGGGAAAGTTTATGTGATAGTGGCAAAGGGTTATGTCTAGATTTTTCTTGAACAAGAAGCAGGTCTTTGTGGTTGAAAGTGAAAGCTGTGAGGCTGAGGTTGGAAAGCTTCTCCCACAACCTGTTTCTCTGTCCTCCTTCCTTGGAGTCGGCAGAATCCAGCCCCTTACTGAAATAAATGCTAAGTGAAGGAGTGAGGATTTGGGGGAGAGGGGGTTGGTGGAATGGGGGAAAAAAACCTGCTCACATAATGTGGACTTCCAGACTAGGCCCAGAGAAGTCAAAGTCATCTTCCAACTCGACCAAGTCCTTAAGGTCCTGTTACCCCATATTACACACTCTTGCAGTTGTTTTGGAATCTCTGGAATTTTGTAGGTGTCTGAAGAAAGAATAGGACACCTATCAACCAGCAACTGCCCTGGAACTTAATACAAACTACCTTCCCCAATAAGCCTCTTGATAGAGTTGATAATATAGTTGTATCATTTACATGTATAATTTGTTCTAGGGTTGCTATAAGAAAGCAACAGTGTGGTTCCAGTCCAACTTCCTGTATATCGGCATTGTCACTATCTGCGTATGCGTGATCCAGGTAAGAGCTTAACCACAGGACCAGTTCAAGGGTTAAATGATTTAAGTCATATGTGGTTTTAGAGGAGTACCAGTTACATGATACGTGCTCAATAATGTAAGCTCCCAGTCAAGTAGTAAACAATGTCATTACCAGTTGCAGGCACAGAGACAATATGATGCAAGTTCTATCTGGTCACTTTAACCTCAAGAGAAAAGCCTGTGATATACAAAAAATTTCACTGGGAAAATTGGCTTCGTATGCTAAGCAGGAGTTGGTGATGAAAATTATAATCAAGTTCCTCGTTTCTCTGCTTAGTTTGACATATCAGGAATCAATTGTGGGTAGTTTTGTGTTCTTTTTCACAACGTGATATTTCTATCATTTTCATACCCAAATGTTTGGGATATTGCACAGAGTAGCTAATACTTAATCAAGGAGCTCAGAAAAAAATTTTTTTTTTCTGCTTGGGAACCAAGGAGGCCTGGAGCATGAGCAGAGATGACTCACTGCCTGAAGTGTTGCCTTGTGCAGAATGTGCCTGTTCCAGCAGCCGGGCTGCTTAAGCCTTCTCAAGGATTTCTTAAGGAGACAGGAGATGTATCAATACTTCATACTCTGCTGTCCTGCCATCATCACTCCACTTGTCTCCCCACTGCCATTTTAAATCTAAAGGAGAAAACATCTGAGCAGGAATTGAATGGGATGGCAGGAAGGGTGATCTCAGTGTAATAAATACTTTCTTTTACTTTGGGGCTGATCACAGAGGTTGTGAGAGGGATGACCACTCCTATAAAGATCTCATATTTTCCCAATTTTTTCATCAGGTGTTGGGGATGTCCTTTGCGCTGACTCTGAACTGCCAGATTGATAAAACAAGCCAGGCCCTTGGGCTGTGACCTGCTACTGCCTCTGCTGAAAACATGTGTTTCATCTCTGGATATCCAAAACCACCTACGGCATGAAGGCCTGATGATCGCCTTCCAGATTGACATCTTTGTCCCCCTCTCACCTCTTCCCTGTTTTGGTCCCTGTCTCACACAACCAGAGGAGAGGGTGTTGGCCAGGCACTTCCCATCTCAGGAAGCAAGATATCATTCACCCATACTCATGGTGGCAGTCATGTCACTCAAAGCAGTGACACGAATACTTGAACATTTTTCAGACACAAGAGACCAAGAGAACCTGTGGCGCTAATAGCTCACGATCAAAGGATGGGTCTGGGACTTAAATTTTTACATCTTCCCATTGGCAAACAAGTTTCTTGTCTCTGAATCAAGCAAGAGACAAGCGAAAGGGACCTCTGGAGCCTGACCTGCTAGATCATTGTCATCACCCTATTTCCTTTAGACGGAGGGTCTTGGCTACAGAAATGATGGAGTACTTCTCCGAACAGTGAGGTTTCACTTCAATCTCTTATTCATTTATTCTGTCTTTCCAGAGGCAACTACCCAATTATTCATATGCAGGCTTCGGCCAAAATCTTAGCCTCTGATTCTCATAACTGTGGAGGAGCTCAGCAGGAGCAGTATCTCTTGTGGTTCAGTTGATGATCACATTCAGAAGAGTCATGATGTTATTTCTTTATCACATAAGGTTTTTGTAAATGTACTATTTTAGCTCTTTAATAAATAAAACAGCATATGATCTCTATCACTACGTTCCCATTGTAATATCTCAAACACACATTTCATGACTCAGACTGATTGCCAGCAAGTCAGGACTATTAGTTATCTATGGCTGCATAACAAATTGCCCCAAAAGTTAGTGGCTGAGAATAACAGACGTTATCTCACAGTGTCTGTGGGCCATGAATCTGGGAGAAGCTTAGCTGGCAGGTCCTGGTCTGTGATCTCTCTTTTGACGACAGTCAACATGTCAGCCACGGCTGCAGTCATTTCAAGGCTCACCCAGAAGGGGATTCACTTTCAAACTCTGCCACTTGGCTCGTGGGAGGCAGCAGTTCTTTGCCACATGCGTGTTTCCACAGGGCTGCCATATGACGTGACAGCAGGCTTTCCGCACAGCAAGACATTCAAGAGAGATTGTGAAATGCAGCACCCAAAACAAGCCATAGCCCTTTCGTAACCTAATTCAGAAGTGCCATCACTTCACATAATGTTCCCTACTTCCATCCACGCTGTTGTGAAGGGTCAGAGCTCCTTCTTTCTTTCTGCTGCATAGTATTCCATTGTGTGAATGTTCCATAGTGTTTTTATCCACTCATTTACTGGTGGGTACTTGAACAACAATTAAAAAATTAAAAATTAAAAACCAGAAGTGCCATCACAACACTTCTGCCATATTCTACTCCTTACAAGTAAGTTGAAAAGCTCAACCCACCCTCAGGGAAGAGATAACGTGAAGGTGTGGATATTCTGGGGTGGAAATCACTGGGGGCTATCCCAGAGTTGGCCAACCATACTTGTTGGATCAAGAGAAGCTGAATTGAATTGTTTATAAGCTGAATTAAATTATCTATGTGATAATCACATTTCGTAAAGCAAACGCTAAGAACCAAAGGGAAGGATGTAAAAGAGAGATGCAAGAATTGGTTTCCATTCTCAAGTGTTGTGTAGGATCTTCCCACTTCTCTTTAACAGAAATTGGTCATTTTAGTGGTAGTTTATAGGGAAACCTACCTCATTGTTTGCACTTTCCTGAGGCAAAGAAGTTTGCATAGGAGACATTCTCATGAGTATCACAAGTGTCAAAAGTGTCTCACATGCAACATGTACGAAATGAAATGTATCTTCCAAATTGCTCCTCCTCATTGTTCCCCATATAAGTGAGTGATAACGCCATCCTCCCAGCTGCCCTGGCCAGAAACTTGGGCTTTGTCCTTAACTCTAGCCTGCCTTTCACTTTTAACACCCAAGAGAGTCATGAAGTTCTACAGATTTATCTACAAAATATCAAATGCATCCATTATCGTCATTTTATTTTTGACCTGTATTCCTTCAGTAGTCCACTATCTTTGCTCCTGTATCCAGTCTTGGCCCCATCTAAACTATTCTTCATACAAATCAATATTGCTAAAACATAAATTTAATCGAGATACGTTTCCGCTTGAAGCTCTTCAATAACTATGTTTCTCTTAGGATCAAGTTCAGGTTCTGTATTATGCCATCAGGCCTACATGATACGTCCCTGCCCTTAGCTCTCCAACCTCACTTCTTGTCATTCTCACTCTTGCACTATGAGAGCATGTCATTTTACCCATATGTGAGATATAAAGCAAAAAGAAACAAATGAACAAAACAAACAAACAAAAAAAAACACCTCATAGACATGGACAACTGTATTGTAGTTGCCAGCAGGGCTAGGGTTGGGGGATGACAAAGAGAGTGAAGGGGGTCAAATATACAATGAGAAAAGACGACTAAAGTTTGGGTGATGAGCACACAATTGATTATAGAGATGATATGTCATAAAGTTGTTTAACTGAAGTTTATATAATATTATCAAACAATGATACCCCAATAAATTTAAATTAAAAATGGGAAAACAAGGCACTATGAACCAAGAGAAAAGCAAATGAAAGAAAAGGACCCACAACATATAAATAGCCAAATTTTTCTAAATACAAAAATAAAGAACAGCTTTAAAATATGAGTACATAAGAAACTACAGGCAATTTTGAAAACTGAAAATATAACAATTGAAATTTTACAAACTTAAGTGGAGCAGGAGATGCAGCACAACTAAAGACAGACTAATAAATAAAATGTGTGTGAGGAAACCAACCAGAATGTAGCTGTGGTGTGTGGAATTATGTCCTCAAACAGGGACGTCTAAATCCTAGCCCCTGGTATCTGTGAATATAATCTAATTAAGAAACAGAAGTATTTTTTGTGGATGTGATTAAGTAAATGATCTTGAGATGAGATCATTGGTGTCCTTACAAGAAAAAGGAGATGAAGATTTGAAATACAGACACACAGGAGAAGACCCACAGATACAGACAAGAAGCCCCCAACTCCCAGATTCTCCTCAAGGAGTTAAGGATTTGGATCCCACAAAAAAATTAGGCCCAACTTTTAAAAATCCCACTAGAGGAACGGGCCCTGAAAGCACCTAGCTCTGAAACCTTGTGTCCAGAGACCCACAAGACTATGTCCTACAAAAAAAAGCAGTTCTTTTTTGAAGTATATTTTATTGATTATGCTATTACAGTTGACCCAATTTTCCCCCCTTCATCTCCACTCCACCACACACCCAACCCTCCATCATTCCCTGCTTCTTAGTTCATATCCGTGGGTTGTGCATATAAGTTCTTTGAATTCTGTTTCCTATACCATTTTTACTCCTCTCTGTCTATTTTATGCCTACCAATTATGCTTCTTATTCCCTGTACCTTTCCCCACCTAACCCTCCCCTCCCCCTCTCCACTGAAAGCCCTCCATGTGATGTCCATTTCTTTGATTCTGTTCCTGTTCTAGTTGTTTGCTTAGTTTTTCTTTTTTGTTGTTTTTCTTTTTTAAGGTTCATTTGTTGATAGTTGTTTGTTGTCCTTTCACTATTCATCTTTTTTATCTTCTTTTTCTTAGATAAGTCCCTTTAACATTTCATATAATAAGGGCTGTGTGATGATGGACTCCTTTAACTTGACCTTATCTGGGAAGCACTTTATCTGCCCTTCCATTCTAAATGATAGCTTTGCTGGATAGAGTAATCTTGGATGTACGTCCTTGCTTTTCATGACTTGGAATACTTCTTTCCAGCCCCTTCTTGCCTACAAGGTTTCTTTTGAGAAATCAGCTGACAGTCTTATAGCCTACTCCTTTGTAGGTAACTGTCTCCTTTTCTCTTGTTGCTTTTAGAATTTTCTTTTTGTCTTTAATCTTGGGTAACTTAATGATGATGTGCCTTGGTGTGCTCCTCTTTGGGTCCAACTTCTTTGGGACTCTCTGAGCTTCCTGGACTTCCTGGAAGTCTATTTCCTTAGCCAGATTAGGAAAGTTTTTCTTCACTGATTTGTTCAAATAAATTTTCAATTTCTTGCTTTTGTTCTTCTCCTTCTGGCACCCCTATAATTCAATATTGGAATGTTTAAAGTTGTCCCAGAGGTTCCTAAGCCTCTCTTCATTTTTTAAAAAATTCTTGTTTCTTCATTCTGTTCCAGTTGGATGTTTTTTTTCTTTCTTGGATTTCTTTCTTTTGTTCCAAATCATTGATCTGAATCCTGGTTTCCTTCCTGTCACTGTTGATTCCCTGAATATTTTGCTTAATTTCACTTTCAATATCTTTCATTTGTTCTTTCATTTTGTGACCAAGCTCAGTCAGTTCTGTGAGCATTTTGATTACCAGGGCTTTGAACTCTCCATCAGATAGGTTAGCCACCTCCTCATCGCTTAGCTCTCTTTCTGGAGTTTTGATCTGTTCTTTCATTTGGGCCATATTTCTTTGTCTGGACACACCTGATAAGCTGTAAGGGGGCGGGGCCTTCGGTATTCACCAAAGAAGGGCAACCCTCCTTGCTGCACTGTGGCACTGTCTTAGGGGAGGGGCCAGAGAGGGAACAATGCAGCTCACCTTCTGGGCTCTAGCCCCACTTTCCAACTAACACTTGCTCATGTGAGACTGGGAGTTCCTCCCACTGTGGCAACCCCCAGCTGCAGTCCACAGTCAGCTCTGAGTCTCAGTTTTCTGTTCAGTCAGCCCCGCCTGCCCAGTAACCTGCCTCCCCAAGGGTTCTCAGCCAGCCCTGCCTTATGGGTCTGGTTGGTCTGGTGGGCTGTGGAGTTCCATGCAGTTTGATTTTCTGGTACTTCTGGTTGTTTTCCTTTTGGTTGTGTGAGGAAGCAAAGGGTTTCTACCTACACCCCCACCTTGGCCAGAAATAAAAAAAAAAAAAGTGGTTCTTAATGGGTGCACGCACATCACCATGGCTCTCCCCCAAGGCTCAGCACAGAGGGAGAAGACAAAATCACCCAACTCCCAGTTCTTCCCTGAAAGAAGGATATCTGCATATTTTTAAAGCATGTATGAAGGCCAGTCTTTCAATATAGCAGGCACTAGCAGCTGGCTACAATACTCCCCGCAACACTGGGAAAGATGGCACACATGCATCACCTTTTCCCTCCAGCCCACTTTAAACTGCTAGTGTCTGACTGAGAGGAGCTGATACACACGTGTGTGCTGCAGCTTCCACAGCTTCCACCCAAGGGATGTGTTCCCCGGCCACCCAGCTTCAGTAACCAAAGGGTCATCCACCCCCAAGTCCCATAGCACAGGAAACAAGGAAACTATTCCTAACAGATCATGCCCCAAGGCTTAGAGCAGAGGGAGCAGGCTAAATCATACACGCCCTGTCTTTCCCAGAAAGAGATTTATCCACATACTTTAAAAACCACTGCCTGAGGGCCAGTCTTCTAATTTAGCAGGCACTTGGGGCTGGCTGTGGTCCTCCCCAGGACTGAGAATTCCAGGCCCTCCCTCCACCTGATTCAGGAACAAAGCTAAGTCAACAGTACCTCCCCGAAAGGAGCTTGTACCCACATCTAGTGCGACAGTGTTTGCAGGTCCCACCTGAGGATAGGCTCACGAGAATGCCTGGCTCACACAGCCAGTGGGCCTTGCATTTATGAGTCTCACAAGACTGTAAGAAAACAACAACAACAAAACACTTCTTAACAGGTGTAGGAACACCC